ATACATAATATAATAACTAAAAAAAACAAAAAAAAAACTTTAAATCTTGATTCTTCTCAATCATTTCACTCTTGATAAATTTTTTTTTATGATTGAAAGTTTACTGGTGGCCCGAAGGCCTTTCCAGTTTCACCAGGACGGGTGGGCGAGCAAAGGCTCAGCCAAGAGGGGCGGGATTTGCTAACAACTGCCCGAGCGCCTCCGAAGGAGACCTAACAACTCAAGAGCAATTGCTTCGCGAATGAAATTACTACCGGATCGGAATCGCGACCCGCTGAGAAGATCCGGCGAGAAACTCAGCGGGCTGATTCATGGGTTAGGTTGCACGTCGACCTCTTTGTCGAGTTCGACGAGTACGGTTACCGGGGTCCCTAAGCCTGCTTCTAGTATTAGAGCTGAAGGCATCTAATGCAAAGGTTACTGGATCTGATGGATCCGTAAGGACGTGTCTAGGGCGTCGACGGTGACTGGCTCCTGCATGATCAGGATTCGGGGACACTCTTGATAGAGTGACCGTGAACCGCATTTTGTGTTGTTGATAATTCTTGATCCCAATACAGCAATACAATTACATGTTGCATTACAAATGTAAGGTACGCGCTGAAGCAAAAGCCAAAGTTTAAAATAAGGTCTCGAGAAGCTGGCGATACCTTGTAAAAAGCTCAGATCCTGACCACGACTATAGATATCCATTCAGACTTTTACTGGTGGTAGGACCTCTTGTGAGTCCGCACGGGTAGGTACCAACACCCCGCCTATTTCTGCCGTGAAGCAGTAATTCCTTTCGGGTTCAAGGGTGGGGTAGCCGTTGTAACTATACTGAGACCTAGAACTTGTCGATATCTATGGGCTCCAGTAACCACTTAACACCAGGTGGGCTGTGAGTTCGTCCATCCATCTAAACAATAAAAAAAAAGTCTTGCGTCAAGTCAAGAAAACACTATCCCTTACTATAAGGCTGATTATGAATAAGAAGGTCGTCATTGATAAAGCTGAGGTCAGTGCAACGCGTTGCGTCTAATGACCTTGATTCACCACTAAAGCCTTCGTCAAACAGAACGCGTAATTAGCGCACGTCAGAGCGCTAAACTAACGGCGCGCTATGACGCCGAGATGTGTTGTAGGGGAAAGTGGGGGAAACGCGAACGCTGGGTAATGCCGAATTCAATGGTTCTAATATGTTAGAAAGATATGTCCTAATTTTATTTGCCGCCATTTCGGAGATCACGCCACCACTGATACCAGTCAATAACACGGGAGACGCGGACGCACGTACTTAAAAAGGTATGCATTTTTCAATATTTTGTATGTTTTAGAAGTAATTTTTTGGTAAATTCAAGTTGATGTAACTTTATTTCTATCTACAATAATAATTCAGCTTTTACATAGTGGAATAATCACATATTACTCAGCTAAATGATAATGATGTAGTAGGCAAAATAAATTTAATCAAAATTGTTTTTTGACCTTTAATTATTTTCGATTCCGCGGGGTAAAGACGAACACTCCATGTCGGGCAATCTCGAACATTCGCCGTTACCCCACTCCCGTTTGTTGGTACCCCGTTCAACTTTTTACTTTACTTTTACTTTTAAATATTATTACAGATGCCTTGTACTTACAAAAGAAAGACCGAACTGAAGTATAGTTTAGAAGATCTCAAAAACGCTATAGACGATGTTAAAACCAAAAAACTCTCCCTGCGTAAACATATAATGTTTCAAAAACTACTAATTTTGACCATCTAATGAAAGAAGTGTTAATACAGCCATGGTCTGGATGAAAACCTTTATTTACAGACAATCAGGAATCGTAAGAAATCAAAAAGAAAACGGAAAGATGGCAAAAAAGGAACCCAAATAAAAAGACTGAAATGTAATGACAGAATACCTTCAAGCAAGAAGTATGAAAAATTATTAAAGAATTTGAACAATATAAAAAAAGACTTTAGTGACTCTAGTCAAAATACGAAAAAAAAGAAAAAGGCGAAAAAGAAAATAAAGACTACTTTTGTATTTTTTGTAGAGATAAATATATTGATCCTCCCGTTGAAGACTAGATTGTGTGCTATGTGTGCAAAAGATGGGCTCACGAGAGTTGTACTGACGGACAGTCAACATCGTTGGGTTTTAAGTGTGGTGTGATCTATGTCGTTAATAATGTTAGTTCGTAATCACCCCACTTGGTGTTCGTATTTACCCGACTGATGTCGGGCAAAGCCGAACACTAAGGGTTTTGTTTTTCTTTCATGTTGTTGCAATTTATTAAAAAAATATAAATGATGATTAGTGAATAAGTTAGACAGATAAGTAAACCTTATAATAAAAAAAATTAAAAAAAAAGTGTGTGTGTCCGCTCCGACGCACGACTGGAGTTTACTGGATATAAAAAATTAAACGAAACAATACGAGAAATAGTTCTATATTACGACAACACGATACACTACAGATTATTAACAAATTAACGAGACACAAAACAAACGACTAACAAATATATGAAAATACAATAATGAGAGAAACGCGCGATCAGTACGAGGCTTTGTGGCGGACTGCCGGCGCAGCAGCCCGGCGTCACCTGCGATAACGCATTTCGTGTGACATGCGCAATCAGGCGCATAACGCATTTCGTGTGACATGCTAGTACGATTTTGGTCCCCATAATTTTCATACCCCGGGCCTATATATGTAAATCGATTCTAAAGGAGTAAACTCCAAAAATCTGTGATTAAATTCCATTGTTTTATTTAAATTTTCCCTTAGGTGTTCGTATATCCCCCACTTTCCCCTACTACTATGGTAACATACCGTCAAACAGAGCCCCAGCGCTATAAGTACGCAGCGCTCTGTCGCGGCGCTTAAGACGCTTTGACGTCAGGCGTTGTAATTTTTTACAAATTTTTTTTTAGCGTCCGTGTGAATGTGTATTAAAATACTAGATAATGCCCGAAAAAATGATATAAATAGTTAGAAAATACCCATGCTTATACAATGCCACATCTGAATCACTCGATTTCTTAATACTTTTAAATTTTAACACTGCTATCGAAAGGCACTATGATTTGGCGAATGCGTTGCGTCAAGGAGCATTAGACTCATCTAGTCAATTTGAACTGCGCGACGTTAAGTACGCGGCGCTAAGTACGCGTTCTGTTTGACGAAGGCTTAAGCAAGAAACTTGTAACATGTCAGAACAATATATTGTAGTTTATCTTGAAAATACCTCAGACTTCACGCTACGAACACATTCGTTAAAAATAATTCTCATGATTACGGCTAAACTGGAGTGCTACTAAAAATATCAAATTCCCAGAAAGAATAACCTAATTTTTTTTTATTCAAAACAAATCTTTTATTTCTGTACAACAAAAAAAAAAAACATTTCATTTATTTAAAACATATCAGATATCAAACACTTTTATTCGTATTTTATTGAGTTCCAATTCAACTATTTCTCGCCAAGTCGCTGCAAATATCATAACATCATTTAGAGTCTAAATTCGTCTAAAGTCTATTAAAGTCCGGATTCGAACACCGGTGCATCGCTACATACGAATGCACCGGACGTCTTATCCTTTAGGCCACGACGACTTCAAATAGTATTTTATAATAGTTTTAAATACCTAGTCAGGTCATAAATTCTGTCACATGTTTAATGTAAAATAATTGAAACAAGTTTATTCATTATGTCACCATTCATATACCAAAATTAACTTAACAAAACATAGATTCTTATGACACTAAAGTTTATTCAAAATGACCTCCGTGATTTTGAATACAGGCCTTCAATCTGCGCGGCCAGTCGTCTATCGCAGCACGAACGAGGTCCATGTCAATATCGGCGGCTGCCTTAATCAAGGATGTCTTGAGTGACTCCAAATTGGGATGAGGCTTTGAGCACGCCTTTTCCTCCAAGTGTTGCCATATCTTGTAATCTAACGGATTCAAATCTGGACTGGAGGAGGGCCAGTCTTCGTGCCGGATGAAGTCGATTTCACGCGCCGCCAGCCAGTCTTGTGTGCTCTTCGCTCTATGAGCTGGCGCCGAATCTTGTTGGAATACCCAGTGCCTGTTATTGAACATGGTATGAGAAACAGGTTCCACAAGGTTCGTCAGGACTGTATTTTGATACACAACTGCATTCGTTTTTACACCTTTCTCACAAAAATGTACCTCTGTTAAGCCCCAATAAGAAACTCCCAACCATACCATGAGCGAGGATGGAAAATGACCTCGTTGGACACGCGGAATACGGTTGCTCGCTTCTTCACTACTGTGTGCGTACACCTTATCATTTTGTTTGTTGTAGCTCTCTTCTACGGTAAAAATTTTTTCATCCGAAAAAAGAATTTCCCGATATTTTTTTCCCGCGTACCGCTTCAACAAAGCGCGGCATCTCTTCAGTCTCAGGTCCATTAGACGAGCATTCAAACGATGTCCTGTTTTTCTTCGATATGCCCGAAGCCCTAAGTCTTCATTTAACACCCTTTTCACCGTGGTTCTGCTTAACCCCATCTGAAGGGCCAACAGTTTCTGCTTACGTTTGGGATTTCTTTGAATTCGCGCCTTCACAGCTTTTATCACTGCTGGAGTCCTAACAGACCGAGGGCGACCACTTCTTGACCTGTCATCTACACTAGAGTCTTCATTGTATCGTTTGATGGTACGATAAACGAATCTTTTGGTTATATTCAAAATTTTCAGTATGTTAAAAATTTGAATTGGCGCGTAACCGCAACGATACAACGCAATAACTGCAACACGGTCTTCTTTAAGCGTCCACTCCATATTTAAAAATGAGTAAAATTCTAAAATTATACATTTTTATTTTCATGGACAATTCGAAATTCGAATTCAATAAACTTTTTTGTGGCCAGCATTCTAAAAGAAAAGTTTTTACTGTGTGACAATACTTATGACCTGACTAGTTATATCGATTGTTATTTCAGTATATCGATATTCATTGGAACTGTGTCATTAATAGAGATGGGGTCTTACATAATGATTGCTTGTCATCATCTTTTCTTCTTCCCTCCACAGAGGACGAGCTGGTCGTATTTCTTCATCTGCTTGGTGGCCAGTTCTATGTCTACGTCGTTCAAATAGTAAGCCTCAAAGTTCGGTAGTGGTCGGAGAATCGCGTACAGGCGCTCAGCGTATTTTCTATGAAGAATGGTTGTTTGGCAGTAAACACAAAATGCTTGACGAGTTTTTACCACGATTTTCAAATTTTGATAGTATATTTTACTAGTCGAGTTCTAGTGGTTATACCAAAAGTAATAATACTAAGAACACACTTACTGGTTGTAGGACCTCTTGTGAGTCCGCGCGGGTGGGTACCACCACCCTGCCTATTTCTGCCGTGAAGCAGTAATTCGTTTCGGTTTGAAGGGTGAGGCAGCCGTTGTAATTATATTAAGACCTTAGAATTCACATCTCAAGGTGTGTGGCGGCATTTACGCTGTACATGTCTATGAGTTTCGCTAACTATCTAACACCATCATCCGCCCATCTATGCACTGATAAAAAAAGTATGTACCTCGTCTCTGTATTTTTGTCATCCAATAGAGCAGCCAATGATCTTAATGTGTGTTTCCTGGCGCACGCGGCCGTGGGAGGTCGGGACCGAAGCAGAGCCCTGCCCCCGCCCGCCAGCGCGCAAGCCACCACTAGCAGCCGGCACGCCGCGCATCTCACTAGCCCGCTTTTGTGGCTGTGATATGAAAAGTCTTCATGACACGATTTTTTTTTATTGCCCTTGTAGGCAGACGAGCACACGGCCCACCTGATGGTGAATGGTTACCGTCGCCCGTGCACCTCAGCAATGCCAGGCGCAGAGCCAAGCCGCTGCCTACCTAATAACTCACAAATGACCATTTCCTCGCTTCTTTACACTGGTGGAATAGTTACTTTGGCGTAACGCTAAATTTAACCCCCCACTTCATTTATGTAGAAAGTGAAAATATTTTGAAACATTCTTTATTGGTGCTCCACTTGTATCGGTCATATGATGTTATATAGCCTATAATAGCCTTCCTCAATAAATGGGTAATCTAACACTGAGATAATTTTTCAAATCGGACTAGTAGTTCCTGAGATTAGTGCGTTCAAACAAACAAACAAACTCTTGAGCTTTATAATATAAGTAAAGATGTGTAACATTTTATGTCATGTAATGAATAATCTTTGAATGTCATTTTCATATCCTTCAAAACATGAAAGACACTAAAATTATCTTACTTTTTTCCCTACCTATGCTGATAGCCTTGAGAGGCTATTTCAGCGTTACTCTAGCGTGTAGGTGAGCTTTCGGGGCTCAAACTGGGTGTGTTGCTAACACGGGCCCGAGCAAAAGCAGTGCTTCGCAGCATCTATCACCGGATCGGAAACACGATCCACTGAGAATATCCGGCGACAAACTCATTGGGTTTTATCTTACATTTTCGCTCTGATATCCTGTGACCAGTATTAACAGGATAATAAAAGAAAAAAATGTGAAATTAAATGGCGGTTCGGTTCGTTATATAAGCTTGATTTTTTTTAGTTTTTAAAATGCACTCATTAAATAATTTTATTTAGATTTTACATTATAAATTATATGTGAATATGATATCTCACCTTAAGACACGAGGTTTCAGCAATGTATTTCTAAAGTACCTAAAGATTCTGTTACAAGTTGTTAATAGTTTAGTTAGCTTTTGTAGGTAGTTAGAAAAGCTACGCATCTAATTAGTGTGTAGTTGTTAAGTTTTCTTTACATTGCGTGCTCAGACAAGACTCATAAGATTTTAGAGACGTTTAGTTAGTTTTAAGGTAGACGAGTTCATACGACCTACCGCATTGTCGGTGTTCTGTATTGTCATATTTTATTTCATCATGCAATGCCTCAGGCAAACACCAAAACGACGTTGCTGGTTCTCAAACTTCAAAGAAGTCCATGTGACAGCTCTGAGGATTAGTTCTGTTATGATGTTGTAATCTAACCCAGTCCCGTGTATGCAGAGAGCTGTGATGGCGTGTGTGAAATTCACGCTGCAGACTATCTCATCTAACGCGACGTTTGCAGCTCTCCGCACCGGTCCGCTGTAGCTGCCGGTCTTCGACAGCAGCAGCGTGATCGCTTCGTAGAAATCCTGTGACGATTGTGAATCTTCAGGCCAGACTGGTAGACGTCATTGTGGGTCTGCACGGACTCTTTTTTATTTATTTTTATTGCTTAGATGGGTGAACTAGCTCACAGCACACCTGGTGTTAAGTGGTTACTGGAGCCCATAGACATGTACAACGTACATGCGCCACCCACCTTGAGATATAAGTTCTAAGATCTCAGTATAGCTACAACGGCTGCCCCACCCTTCAAACCGAAACGCATTACTGCTTCACGGCAGAAATAGGCAGGGCAGTGGTACGTACCCGCGCGGACTCACAAGAGGTCCTACCACCAGTTATTCGTAGACTAAATTTTTTTTCTGCGATGAACCAGTCATGCATTCTGGGTCGATGGACGGAACAACCATTGGGTGGTGGTATTCAGATTGTAATTTATATGGATTCCGGTAATAACTTAAAATACCAAACGAGCTGTGAGAGCATCTAAAATTTCGTGAAAATTGGACGAGAACAACACGAGTGATTGCGACAGAGATGAGCTTGATGAGTTACTATTGTCAGGGCGTCTTGTGAGTCCGCATTAGTGCATACTACCACCCCACCTATTTCTGTCGCAAAACTTTCCGATTCGGAGGGTGGGGCATTCCGTTGTACTATAGAACTGAGACTTAGAACTCATGTCTTGAAGTGGGTGGCGCACAACGCATTTACATATGTCGATCATACGATCTCTTAGTCAGAGCAACCTAGTCCTTCGTGTAATTTGCATAAGGTACAACATACTGCTGGTGAAGAGGGACTTTCAACGCTCACTATATGGTACCCTAGGTTTCGTCTATCCGGTGTGATGGAGCTCCATGGGGTTTAATCGGTAGTCGGTTCCGCGGGGTGGGTGACTCGTGTGCCTTTTTCAAGGCGTTGTCTCCTGGGACGAATTGGAGGAAGAGAACTTTGGTCTTCCTCTTCTCCCTCTTCTTCTCTGGAGGCGCTGGAGCCCGACATAACCCTGTCTGTTACGCCTAATATCCAGTAAACGGATTCCCCAGTTTAAAGAAAAAGGTGCAATATACTGTCATGACTTAAGTTTTGTTTATTGCTTAAATGGGTGGACGAGCTCACAGCCCACCTGGTGTTAAGTGGTTACTGGAGCCCATAGACATCTACAACGTAAATGCGCCACCCACCTTGAGATATAAGCTCTAAGGTCTCAGTATAGTTACTGTCTGTTACGTATCCTTGATCTCTTCATAAGCCTGGAGATGCTGATTGTGTAAATAATATTACTTACCGGTTTCTTGGTATAATTGGTATTCTTGAGTATTACGGCGAGCGTGTTGCACGCCGAACGAGCGACTTGCGTTCTTGGCGACTCAACGTGGCTGCTAACCTTAGTCAATATATTAATACCACGTTCTGAGTCGTCACGGGTAAGTACCACTATCCGGCCTATTTTTGCTGCGACCCAGTATTGAGGTCCGGTGTGAAGGCTGAGCACACACGCATTGTTATACAATACAGTTATCCATTCGATTTCATATGGAAGTTGGTGATGTCTATTTGGACTCTGATAACCATTACACTAGGCACTTGCTTGATTTTGCTCCTGGCATTGTTGAGGTCCATAAGCAATGGTAACTACTCACTATTACGCGGGCCATATGCTCGTCTGCCTACACGGGCAATAAAAAAAAAACTCCATGCCATAAGCACATTCGTCCCATGTTTTTTTTTAATTAATGGTCAGGTGAGTGGACGAGTTCGCGGCCCAGCTAATGTTAAGTGATTACCGGAGCCTATAGACATCTATAACGTAAACGCCGCCACCCACTTTGTGATATGAGTACTAAGGTCTCAATTTTTACAGTAAAACGGCTGCCGCACCCCTCAAACCCAAACGCATAACTGCTTCACGGCAGTAATAGGCAGGGTGGTGGTACTCGTACCTACCCGTGCAGACTCACAAGACGCCACATTAGGAGTAATTACGCAATTGATAATTATAATCTTTGCTGTTGTTGTTTAGCAGTTGCCTGCAGGATTAGAACACCGCTACAATCGCATCGCTTGATACGGATGTACCGGGCGTCTTAACGTTTAGGCCACGACGACTTCAGAGGCCCAGGCTAACTATAAGAATATAACTATGGTTACGCCGGTAAGAGTAACGCCATCTCTCGCCGAATAGTCGAACGAATATCGAAGAGCACCTAGTACGCTCGAGAAGTACAACGCCATCTATTGACCGATAGCGGAAACTACTTGAGATGTGTGGAACATTCTCGAAAATCTAGGGATGAGGTATCGGCTATGCGTTGTAGAGATGGCACGCAGTCAGTCAGTAATCGGAGCTACTCGAAGCGAAACAGCGAACGGATCGCCTGAAGCGAAGCGGAACAAGCGAATTGAGAATTTTAAAGTGTTTGTTGAGTGTTTTAAAGTGCTTGTGAAGTGTTTAAGTGTTCTAAGTGTTGAATACAGTTTTTTTTAGTTGTACTTTGGTAGAATTTTATTTATCCCGAACTCTAGCGCGTAACACTAATTTAGAATGTTTGAAAAACTAAGTATGTATACCTACTTGTCTTAATAAGTCAGCGATTCTCTGCTCCGTGATGTTATTCCAGTGTTTTTCTAATACTTTCGGGATATCTTCCAACGTGTCAATTACTTGCAACCTGTTCGTTACAAAAGGATAATAAACATTCAACAAAAATACAACTGTCTTCCTCATACTCATGTGTGCGAGCTGTAGTTTTTTTTGAAAAATTAAAAAACATTTCTTGTCACACAGTAAAGTTTATTTACAAGTGTCTGGAATCACTGCTTTCATTCGCAGTGCGTTTCTAGAGGTCTTACTTGCCACGTACTACCTGGCTTGGAATAAACATCCATTCAGTGTTTCCCGAGCGCTACATCTTCACACTGAACTGATGACCCGTAAAATCGTCTTTCTTGGAAGGCATTCAAATTGTTTCGTGTGCTTCCAAACAACAAGCTTCCTTACTGGTGGTAGGACGTGAGTCCGCACGGGTAGGTACCACCACCCTGCCTATTTCTGCCGTGAAGGAGTAATGGGTTTCGGTTTGAAGGGTGGGGCAGCCGTTGTAACTATACTGAGACCTCAGAACTTATATCTCAAGGTGGGTGATACATTTACGTTGTAAATGTCTATCGGCTCCGGTAACCACATAAAACAGGTGGGCCGTGAGCTTATCCACCCATCTAAGCAATAAAAAATAAGAAATAACATAACCATGAAGAAGAACGCAGTCTCTTTAACATTTCCACACAAAGGGCCTCGCAGCCGCGCTCTGCGATCTCGCACAGCTTACTGTCGTCCGGTGAGATGGTTCCCGGAGATATGCTTCTACTTTCCGATGGACTGCCATAAAAGATAACCTAACTTAAATAAATCGTCGTTGTCAAACCAAAATCTGCTATGTGCACTTTTTGAGATTTTTACTTTTTGACCTTTTCTTAAAGCTCACAGCTCTATCTACCGTATAAAAAAAAACTGGTATGTGTAAGCCTTAATATTTTTTTATAGCTTTCATTTCATATAGATTTTGTTAGTTCGAAATCCCGGCAAGTGTTGTTACCATGTTCAGCTTATCTTCATTGCCGCAGGGTACAAAACTAAAGATCAAAGGAAAGTGTTAGTCGTTGCTACATGTTGCGTTGGTACTTACGAGATTCCTCGTCTGGACGATCTACTGCTCACTTTCAACTCTTCTATTTTAGTCTTAATACTGATGGGAGCATGGCAGTGATTTGTAGGTGATCTGTCGTGTCTATGAGTTGAGTATGATTCCGTATTGATGCTGGGCTTTTCGTGAACTTCTCCAGCAATTGGTGGCAGTTGGAAGCAGTTATTTCGTGGGGTTCTATTTGTAAAGTCTGGAAGATTAATCAAGGTTGCCTTGAAACGTATTTATAGCCCGTTGGTTGACTGAATTATATATCTAATTACGACGCACGATTTTGTATTATCGAATTCCAACGTTAAATCGCATTGTGATACTATCGTTAAGCTTAAATTATCGAATACAGACCGCAGCTTTCCCCTGTGATGTCAATTTTCAAAATCTTTGTAAAACGTACAATTTGTCGACAGACGATGCAGGGATATTAATTAATGAGGACATTGGCACATATGTATTCGTTAGATTTTATTTAAGAGAAATTAGGCATTTGATCGGAGAATATTTCAGTACACTCTTGCAACGAAAAAAAAAAAATTATGAAAAGATGGCTGGAAAGATGGCGGTTGGCTCGGAGACCTTTCCAGTTTCACCAGGACAGTTGGGCGAGCAAAGGCTCAGCCAGGAGGGGTGGGATTTGCTAACAGCTGCCCGAGTGCCTCCAAAGGAGACCTAACAACTCAAGGGCAGCTGCTTCGCGAATGAATCTACTATCGGATTCGCGACCCGCTGAGAAGATCCGGCGAGAAACTCAGCTGGCTGATACATGGTTTAGCTTGCACGTATAACTCTTTGCCGAGTTCGACGAGTACGGTTACCGGGGTTCCTAGTCCTACTTATAGCGTTAGAGCTGAAGGTAAGCCTCGGATATGTTGTTTCAAAAGTATTTAATTATTCTCGCTATTAAACGAATTTAAATGTAAGTTCTTTTTAGAGTTTTAGACAGGTAAGCCTAGTGCTAAGGATTTACTGGAGCACAAAGATGAATACTAATTTGAGACATGAATATTAAGTTTCATTTGGATCCAGATTATTAACCTATCTTTTTCAAATAAAAAATCAGATCGAATTCACAACCAATCTACCGCTTGTTCCTTACCATTTCTAGTGTTATCAACACAACCTTCGCCAGACGCCAAGTCTTTGTTTCTGATCTCCCATCTATCAATCAGTGATTCCCTAACTTCTTTAGCAGTATCATTTTCTGTAGTTACATTTATATTACAACTGTAATCAGACAAAAACAATTTTTTGAGGTACAAATGATCTCTCTTTATCGGTGGTAGCTTGAATTCTTCCTTATATTCACATTCTGGAAGTAATTTAACTTTGATACCCGCATTGTTAGTAAATAGAACATCTTTGTCATCATTTGTACTATTTATATAATTAGATGTTGAATTCGCAATACTGTCTTTCTGAACCGTCGATTCTTCCGTCAAGGGCGTTAAATGTCCTGTTTGTTTTACGTTGCTTTCATTGTTTTCGGCAGGATGTGTGTTATGTTCGAAATGTTCTGTTAGCTTAGAGTAGAGTTCTTCAATATCGTTCTCTACTGATTTCGGTATTTCACTGGTGTCGCTTCCGCTGTTGCAATCTGATGTTTGTCTTTTGCGTTCCATCAGAGAGTCTTCGTCTAGATCTGTGCCTATACTATCTTCAAAATTACTTGTGTTTTCATAGCGTTCTTCATTAGACACAGTCTCGTCATCAACAAAATATTTATCCGAACCGCTGCTAATATTTTCATTCGTCTTTACATAATTTGATTCGGGTAATTTAGATGAAACATTTTCTAAAGTATTTTGCATAAACTTAGTATAGGGACTGCTTGTATTACGGGAGTATTTTTCATCATTGTAATTCAAATTTGATTTGCAATTAGAAATTTCAAATTTATATTTTACAGTTTTGTTTTCTGTGATTGATACTAAAGATGTTTGCGTTTCGTGATTGTCACATGAATAATTTTCATTGGCATCAGCTTTGGCGAGTTCCATGATAGTTTTACTAGTTTGTGTAAAAGATTCTTGAGCTACGAAAACATATTTCTGTACGCTTTTTGAAACTGATTTGTATTCTCCATCAGATGGATTGTAAATTTCTTTACTATTTGATGTTTTTTGTGATTCTTTAAGGTCAATAACACTCTGGTTTCCATATAGAGGGAATATTTCACTGTCATCGCTCTCATCTATGGCTATTACGTATGTGTTTTTATCGGATGAAATGTTTCTATCTGAGCTGCTGTCGCTAAAGTAGGGAGAATACACGTTAGAGATGGTTACACTCTTCTGGGATTCTGTTTGTTTAAGGTTTTCGATAGCATCTTCAACTTCATACTCCTGTAAAATGTTTATAGAATTAGCTTATTTTCTATCTAATTTGGAACTTGTCTTCACTTGAACTATTTTAATTAGAAAACTCATCAATAATTTACTGTACCCCTAATCTTAATATGGTTTATCGTTGATATAATCATTCTTCTGCCCATCTCCCAGTCACCTGAGGTCGGCGCAACATGTTTTCTCCTTTCATACTTTTCTATCATCTACTATTTCTTCGTTCACTCCCCTCTTACACATATCGTGTTTCACGCAATTCATCCATTTCTTCTTAGGTCTACCTCTTCCTCTACAGCTTTCCACATTCATGGTTAAAATTCTCTTACCAACCTCATTGTCATTGATAATGAGAAATAAATCTTATGTTTGAAAAAGAAATATCGAAGCCGATATAGCAAGAGTGTTCATTTCAATTAATGGGTTTATTTGGGCAAAATTAAATAAATCAGAGTCAGTAAAACTTTTTAAAATATTTAACGGACTAATTTGAATGTTAGCGCGAAACCGCGAAAAAGGAAGGATTTTTTTTTTTAAAACCTATGCATTCTTAATGCTTAGGTTTTGAAGACCAAATTTTTGAAAAAAAAGGAGACTGGAGTAAAGTCTGGTTTATTGTACACTAATATAAAATCAATACATTCAAGTGAAAAAGAACAATGGTTGGTCTTATCGGTAAGAGCTATCTTTTTTTTTTTTTTTTTTTTTTTTTTTTTTTTTTTTTTTTTTTTTTTTTTTTTTTTTTTTTTTNGATGTACCACGAACACAGAAACAACAAAAGGAAACAAAACAAATAAAAACTTCCAGAAAGAGCACTTAGTCGGCAGATGTACCACAAACACAGGCCGCGCGAACAATGGCCGGGCTAACAAAAGCCGGGCGAACAAAGACCGGGCGATCGAGTGGACGATGAGCACGTCCGCACGTGACGGGTGCCTCTATCGGAATAAGAGCTATCTCTTCCAGACAACTATCACTTTACCCAGCGCAAAGCCTTACACTTTGCTTTGATAACTTGTTTGAGATGATTCCATCATCTCGTTTTTACCATCGCACCGCCAGCTACCGGAGTAGAGTTCAATGCATATTACCTGAAGGCACTGCGTTCATCCACTATGCGTTTCCAGAGATCTTTTTGCCACGTACCATTCGGCTTTGGAATGAGCTCCCCTCCACGGTGTTTCCCGAGCGCCATGACATGTCCTTCTTCAAACGAGGCTTGTGGACAGTTCTCAACGGTTTGGCTCTGTCCCTAGCATTACTAAAGTCCATGGGCGACGGTAACCACTCACCAAAAAACTCATAAGTAGATTTTGAAACTAATATTTTTTTCGTTCATCTTACCATGATTCAAGTGAGATTATTAATGCATGGAAGACAATTAAACACCGAGTGTAACCCAGAAAACCAGATTATATTACGTATTTACAAATATTTCAAGATAATTTTGACGGGTCATGACAATAGTATTTAGTGAAATAAGAAACGTCGATGGAAATATTCTTTAAAAAGGTTACTTTACTATTCAACAAATTACTACAAACAAATGTTCACGATTGACTTCCACGGTGAAGGAATAACATCGTGTAATAAAAATCAAACCCGCAAAATTATAATTTGCGTAATTACTGGTGGTAGGACCTCTTGTGAGTCCGCACGGGTAGGTACCACCGCCCCGCCTATTTCTGCCGTGAAGCAGTAATGCGTTTCGGTTTGAAGAGTGGGGCAGCCGTTGTGACTATACTGAGACCTTAGAACTATATCTCAAGGTGTGTGGCGCATTTACGTTGTAGATGTNATTACTGGTGGTAGGACCTCTTGTGAGTCCGCACGGGTAGGTACCACCGCCCCGCCTATTTCTGCCGTGAAGCAGTAATGCGTTTCGGTTTGAAGAGTGGGGCAGCCGTTGTGACTATACTGAGACCTTAGAACTATATCTCAAGGTGTGTGGCGCATTTACGTTGTAGATGTCTATGGGCTCCAGTAACCACTTAACATCAGGTGAGCTGTGAGCTCGTCCACACATCCAAGCAATAAAAAAAAAAAAAAGGAGTATCCCGAACCGTTTTCATGCCATCTCATGAATAAATACATAGAAGAAAAAAAGAAAAATACCGATTTTTCGAGAATTTTCGAGTGCTGTGTAGGCCTTAATACATATTTATTAATGTGTTGTGTTGAATTTAGCATAATAGTATTCACATTTAGGCGCGCACAATATTAATACTTTATGTTATGTAATTTTACTGCGCAAAATTTAAATTACGTCAAATTATCAATTCCTTGTTAATGCTAATTTCAACCTATCTATTACGTTAGTCAAGTAAACTTCATGTATGTTCGGTAGGTTTATTTTGTTTCTACGTAATAACCTGCTCGTATGCCTATGCCTGCCTCATGCCTTCTGCTTATTTCTGCCTCAAAGCGTTATGTTTCAAAGAGCGGAATATCCGTTATAACAGAGGTTGAGATATCTCAAATTCGAGGCGGCATTGGAAACTAAACTAAAACTCCAAATAGCATTCGCATCGGAACCACACTCTCTGGTTTACCACTCAATAAATCCGCGAGTCGTCAGCCAGCCCGCAAAAATAAAACAACCAGACTACATTAAAATATGATAAACTATTTATTTAATTCACGTTCCATTAAAATACACACACATTTAGAGAAATCGAGCTCAGTACAATATAGTAAATATCACAAAGATAGACAATAATATATACCCATTTGAGTCGCTACACATACATGGTAAGATAAAAAGAGTTAGAGATGAACACGATACTGTTTTACTCTCGGTGCTTTTAGGCGCTCCAAGCATCGGTCACCGTACGTACTAAGAGACAAAACCCACTGAGTTTTTCGTCGGTTTTTTTGGGTGGCTCGAGATTCCGATCCGGTTAATTCAGCGGAGCATTCAGCTAGAGGGAGTGTTGGCAAGTCATCCCAGGTTAAGCCTCGTGAGCTTACCCACCAGTCCGTCGGAATAGCCTCTTAGCCTACCAAACGATTACGAAGGAAATCTGTTTTATTTTTAGCAGTAATAAGTAAATTAATAAATTGCAGTAAAGCAAACCTTTGTAATATAATTTTTACGCCATGCCGCAGTGTTTAAAAATTCAAACATTCGTCTCATCACACCGAATCTCTTTCTATGTGCAAGGAGATGGCTACAGGATCCAGCGATAAATATTGCACATCGTCATATAGAAAGAGACAATCGGCTTATTTCGGCTTCGTAGAGCGCTATCTCTGTCGCACATTACCTTTGTGACGTTTGTCAGTCTTTCAAGGTCCTATTACATACCGGACTTCCAGTGTTTCATGAGACAGAGATAGCGCTCTACCAAAACCGAAGTAGGATTTACCGTCGGGTACTTTATATAACTTTACCAAATCGATGCCTCCAATGAACACCACCCTAACTGAAAATTTTAAAATTTTCGTTCTTCAGGCAAATCGCTTCACTCTTTTAAAAGTAGGTATTACAAATCATTATTGATGTAGTTCGAAGCAAAAGTAAATCAGCTAGTTACACAAGAAAAGACCCATAAATATATCTGCAATAATAAAGGTTTTATCATATTTTTTTCGTTTAAACGCTCCGCCTGTAAACCTACGAATTTGGAGTTAGCGTAGTGTTCATTGGAGGCATCGAAATATATGCTAGCGGCAAATGCAGAGAGGCTGTTCCAACTCTATAAAAATTTGAGTTAACTTTTACGTGATCTTTATCTCTGATCTGGGTCTTTAGAATAAACGTCAAATGTCAAAATTAAAAACGAGGTAAAAAATTATAGCAGTCTTTTAAATTATACCCAAATTAGTAGACTACAACTAAAGTTATAAAATTTTTCTTCCTTCAAGAAATCACATACAACATATTCATTTTTATTACAAGATTAAAACAGTATCGTGTACTCGAGTCATAATAAAACATTGAATATTGGACCTTATTGTCTTACACGTAGACGCATAGCTATTGAGGACTGAACCACTAATATCTAGATTTATGAATAACCAACAATAGATTCATATAAATATATTTAAATATACACACACATACATCTTGCCTTTAGAACAACGAAGACAAGTCGAATCGAAGCAAAGTTTTTAATCTCAGGGCATATTTTTTATAATATTACTTGTTTTTTTTTTCAATTAAAACGATTGATATTACCGATATCGCGAATAAACGTGATTCGAGCTACAGACCACAGCAAAACATTATTTCAAAATCCTTAGTTTAAGGAGGACATATCGTCATACACAGACATATCACTAAGTCATATCGGTACTAAGAGACATTGATGTTCTAGACCAATGGTGGGCAACCTTGTCAACCAAAATAGCCAAATTTACATAGTTAATTATCATCTTAGGACTTACAGCCCAGGATGGGCCTTAGCCTGGTCCAGTATCTCTCTTCAGATTGCTCTGTTCAAGGCTTTCTCCTTCCAATTCCTGACACCGATAACTTTGAGATCGTAATATTCCGGAAGGAAGGCAGTAATATTCCGTGCCTGGATTTAGACATTTCGCGGAAGAAACGTGGCTGAGGAGTCAAAGAGCCACGGGTAGCTGACGAATGCTCTTGAGTTGTTAGGTCTCCTTCGGAGGGGTTCGGGTAGCTGTTAGCAAATCCCATCCCTCCTGGCTGAGCCTTTGCTCGCCCACCTGTCCTGGCGAAACTGGAAAGGCCTCTGGGCCACCAGTAATCCATTAATCATAAAAAACCAAATGTTGTGGATATGTCGCGATTCCAGGATAAACGAATGAACCATAACAGTATGCAACACAAAACCTTTACACTATAATTTCGTCAATCATTAACTGAATTTGAAAGGACGCGCCATTGATAACAAAGAAGTCTCATTCAATAAATTAAAAGTGATCATTAACAGAGGTACAACCGCACGTTGTACCGAAAAAAAAACGTAATGTAAGACTTTAGAAGTATTTAACGGAATATTTGCAAATTCATGACGTAGATAAAAAAAAACGTAAAGGACTTTTCTTAAAGTAAAGTTTATCGATATTTATTCATCTCCACTATCATTCTAGAGATTTTAAGATTATGGAGGGTAGATTTAAGAAGCATACTCTTTGAGTATCAAAGTGGCCGTCGAAAAGCGACCAATTAGTACGGCACCACCGTAAGAAGTGATGTATATTTTCAAACATACCGTCAAAAATTATTATATTAAATTTCAACTTTGCAAAGTTCACTCCGCTTACAACTGTCACCTTCATATCACACCATTTGCTACGCTGGCGCTATTTTGGTAGGTGTTTTAAAAATTGTAAATTGCTGCTTATTTTGCTGAACACTTCTAAC